CTTGGGCCGTCCGGAGGCCATCTTGGGCGTCGTGGAGCGATCTTCGGGCGTCTCGGACCTCTCTTGGACCGTGTTGGGGGCGTTCTTGGGGCCCTCTTGGGCCGTCTTGGAGGCCTCTGGGGCCGTCTTGGAGCCGTCTTGGGCCGTCTTGGGGCCTTTTTGAGGGCCTCTTGGGCCCTCTTGGGGCGATCTCGGAGGCCTCTTGAGCCGTTTAGAGGCGTCGGGGAACCGAAAAGGTTGAAACGCCCAAATCTGTCCAAAACCTAAGAAAAAAACATTCATTTTTGCCTCTTGGGGCCCTCTTGGGAGTGCTCCTGGAGGTCTCTTGGGGCATCTTGGAGGCTTGTTGGGTCATCTTGGAGACATCTTGGGCCGTCTGGAGGCCATCTTGGGCGCCGTGGAGCGATCTTCGGGCGTCTCGGACCTCTCTTGGATTGTGTTGGGGGCGTTCTTGGGGCCCTCTTGGGGCCCTCTTGGGGCGATCCTGGAGGATCTGGGGGAGTGTCCCGGGCGTGTCTCGGGCGTGTCCCGGGCGTGTCCCGGGCTCCTCCCGGGGTACTTTTGATCCAGGGACCCCCAGGGGCCGCCCCGCGCGCGCGAACTAGAAATACTGTTTACCAGTTACCGGAGATCTTAGCACGCCTTTGGCCCGTTGGGCCGGCGAATTTAGCAACTCCCCCCCCTAACCCAAGGCGGCCGCATTACCCCCTAAGACGTACCCCGGACCCAGAGAAGCCCCGCCAGACGCTCGACGCGCCGCTAAGACACCCCCCTCTCTGCGCGAGCTGCGCCGACCCCCCGGGAGGCGCCGCCAGCGGCCGCGGCCGCGCGGCCTTCACGGGCGCAGCGGCCGCCGCGCCCCCCACCGACAGAGGCCCCTCCCCGCTCCACTGCTCTTGCAACTGCACCTCCATCCATGTCTGCTTGTCTTCCTTCCTCTTCTTGTTCCTCGTACCAAACTTGCAAGCCCCCCCCACCGAAGCAGGTACTGTTTACGGTACACGCGCCAACGCCTCGGCCTCCCACTCTCAACGCGCCTCCTTGGGTCCACCGTTCCCCCCCGGGCCCCCCCAGTCTGGACCCACCTCCCTTTTCTCGATCCCTGTCTTCTCCCTCTCCTCCTCCTCTCTCCTCTTCAATCGGTCGTTCTACAGTTCAAGGCAGAGTAGTGATGCGTCCACGATTCTGGATCAATTTGGTCAGGTCGAGATCGAGCGGGCAAAAGGCGGGGCGAAGGGCCAGCACGGTCCAGGCCCCTCCACACCCTAGTAACCGCAGGTCCAAGATGGCCCGAGATGGCGCCATGAGGCCGCCAACATGATCCAGGATGACCCAAGAGGCTCCCAGATGATTTTGGGATAGCCTGAGCAGACCACAAGGGCCGCGAGGACGGCTCCAAGAGGTATCTCGAGCGGGCCTCTGAAAGTACAAACTGCTCATTACCCGTAAATTTTGACAGATTTGACCGTGCTCGCCTTGAAGCGTCAGAATGCCCAAGAAGGCGCAAGCTGTCAAGATCGCCCCGAAACTGTCCAATACATACGTTTACGGTTGATGTGTGGGCAAATGGGGGCGAGCGTTCGTTGGCCGCATTCGATTGCACGGCAGCTGTTCTGGCTTACATTGAGGCCCTCAGGAGGGCATGCTTCCTGGGGGCTCGCGCGCTCGCGCCCCCGCCGCGCTGCAGGCCGAACGGCCTCGGATCTGCTGCTGGTGCGAGGGGCGGCTCGCCCCCGGCGAGAGCCTCGCCTTGGCGGAGGCTGGCGGGTTGCTGGAGGTGTGCGAGCTGTGCTAGTTGCTCGCGCTCGCCAGGCAGGCGGCGCGCGAGGCACGGGTGGCGCCGCGCGAGCGGGCCCTGCTGCTGGAGCAGGCTCGCCACCTCGGAGCGCAGCTCGTGGCGCTCTCGACGCTCGAACCCGCTGCCTCCCAAGGCGAACGGCAAGGCTAAGGCCAAGGACAAAGCCAAGGCCAAGGCGGCCCCTGGCGGAGGCGGTCGCGGCCGCGGGCGGGGCGCTGCAGTCGCTCACAGACGTGTGCGCGGGCGCGCTGGAGCTGGGGCTACTGGCGGAGGCGGAGCTCCTGCGCCAGGCGGGGCTGACGCCCTTGGCGGAGCCGCAGGCCCCCCTCCTGGCCGGCGCGGCAGGGGCCCCCGTGGTGCCAGGGCTCGGCGTCCTGCCTGGGCTCCCTGGCGGGCCCGACGGCGTCGGAGGCGGCGCGCCGCCTGCTTTGCCTGGCGGCGCTGGCGCGGTGGGCGCTGGCGGCGTCGGCGTCGGAACCGCGCTGGTGGGCGCGCTCGCAGAGCCTGGCGGCGGAACTGCTGGTGGCGCGGGGGCCCCGCCCGCTGCTGCGGGGGCACCCCTCGGAGTTCTCGGGGGCGCTGCCATCCCAGCGGCCGGAGTGAAGCTGGTCGCGCTGGAAGACGGCGCCTGGACGCAGGCATCGGTGCTGGTGCCGATCGTCGATGGTGCCCGTGCTTACGATGCGCGCGCGGGCGCGTCCAGTTGTCTGCGGCCCGCCTCTTCGCGCAGACCGCCTTGGGCTTCTCCGTCGCGATCCCCGCTGCCTCGCCGCGCTCAACCTCGCCTGCCTCGCGCGCCCGCCGCTGGTAATGATGGCGCTGCTGCTGCTTGGGGCCCCATGGCCGACTGGCGCGATCTGGCAGGGGTTGCTGGAGATTTGTTCCGAGAGCCTTATGACGTGGGCCCGATACTTCTCAACCTGTTCAACAGCTTCCCTGGTTCGCCTGGTCGCTATGTCCGTGGCTCTGGATCTACAGCTGCGCGAGCACGGCTGCAACGCGACTTGCTGCCGTCACCGCGCCTCGCCGCTGTCAAGTCCGATGTCGTGTTTGACGGCGAGGACCTCAGCGACGAGAACTGGGAGGCGCTCCGCTGTTGGCTGGTCGTGACGGTGCCGGCGCTGAACTGGGAGGCGGGCTTCTGCTCGCTCAAGTTCGCTCGACGCCGCCGCGGACGTGCGAATGCAGCCCAGCGGGCCGCTTTGATCGGCCTGGCGCGGCGGCTCTTCTTGGCCGCCCGCATCGAGGCCAGCCTGCCGAGGGACCTGGACTGGGGGCGCCGCCTCAAGGATCGCAAGGTCGGCTACGGTGGCTCCGAGACCACGACACTTCACAAACTCACCTTGGAACAGGTGCTGGACGGCCTGCCGCAACCTGGCGTCGCGGCCTCCATCGAGGCGGCCGATCTTGCGACGGGCTTCGTGCGCGATGCTTTGCTGGGCCCGTCGCTGGCGTTGCTGCCGCCTGCGCTCCGTCGCTCGGCGCCCGCCTCCGCTCGGGTCTGGGCTTGCGCGCCCGAGAGGCATCGCATTGTGGAGGCCTTGCATGTGCGCGGGATGATCGGCCCCATCGCCTTGAGGGAGATCGCCTGTCGCGACGGAGCTCCGTTGCTGAACGGCGCCTTCGGTGTTCCGAAGGCTCGCGACGCCCCCGTCAAGTGCAGCGACGGGGAGCTGCGGGCCGTCCTGAGGCTGATCGCGAACCTGATCCCCTTGGACGCGTGCCAGGAGTGCATCGTGGGAGGCGCGCCCGAGATGCCGACGATGAGTCAGCTGAACGGCTCGGTGTTTACCGAGTCGGAGGACCTGTTGTGGAGCGGTGCTGACAGAGGCCTTCTTCTCCGTCTTCAGGGCGCCGCCGCCGCGGCGGCCGCGCGCGGTGATCGGCCCCCCCCTGTGTCGCCCCGGCTGCTGGGCCTCAAGGGCGGCGGCACCACCCGCATCTGCCTGCGCGTGACTGGCGCGGGGTGGATCAGCGCGGCGGGGGCGACTACCCATTTTCACCGCAACATGCTTCGGCGCAGTGGCAGCGTGCCTCGCGGCCTCGGCCCGAGCTGCGAGGTCACGCGTCGGCGGCGGTTGCCACTGGGGGTGGAGAAGCCTTGCCCCCCCGGCCTGGATGGTCTACATCGACAACCTGGAGATCGCCGAGGTCGTCGACAAAGCGGAGGCGGAGAAGCTGCGCGGGACGGCGCCTGCCCTGCTGACTGACGCCAGGGCCTGCTACGAGGCGGCAGGCTCGCCCAGGCCCCCTGGCAAGGACCTTCACCAGGTGGTGCGTGCGACCGCCCTGGGCAAGCTGATCGACGGCGTCGAGGGCGCCCGCCGCCCCCCCGCGGGCTACATTATTGAGATGGTCAGCCTTGCCTGTTGGGTCCTGGGGAAGAAGCGCGCCAGAGTGCGGCTGATGCGCTGCTCGGCCGATGGGTGCGCGCTCGCTGCTTCCGCCGCCCTCTGGCCGCCAGCTTCGCCTATACTTGGCGGTGGCTTGGCGATTCGCGCAGCGGGGGCCGCTTCAGAGTCGACGTCGTCGAGGACCTGCTGATGCGCCTGGTACTCTCTGCTCTGTGTGTGGGAGGCATGCGGCCCGAAGTCGACTACTTGGTGACGGCTTCTGATGCGTCGGAGGCTGCGGGCGCGGTGGTCTACAGCACGGACCTCTCGGACCGCGGCCGCGCGCTTGCCGCCCGGCGCCGACGGCCTGCCGGCGCTGCCTGCGAGGAGGGGGCGGCGCTGGCCACCCTCTTCGACGGGATCGGGGGCGGACGCAGGGCTTTTGAGATCCTCGGCCTGGTGCCGGCGGTCCACCTGTCGTTCGAGGTTGACCCCCGGGCCGTGCGCGTGGCGCGCCGCTGCTACCCTGGGACCCAGCACCTTGGCGACGTGACGGAGGCGACCCTGCCGCCCTGGCGGGCCTTCTGCGGGCCCGAGGTCGGGTCACTCGCGCGCTGGTAATGAGCGGCCCCCGTGCCAGATCTACGCGAGCCTCAATGTGGACCGCCGGGGTGCTGCCGACCCGCGCGCTTCGCTGGTCGGCCACATGATCCGGGTCATCCAGGGGCTGCGGGTGGCCATGCCTGAAGCCACGGTGGATTTTCTCGGCGAGAACGTTGCTTCGATTGCCGAATCTGACGTAGTTCATCTCAACAGGCTCTTCCAGCGGATCCCCCTGAAGGTCGAGGCCGGTGAAGTCGGCTGGGTCAAGCGACCGCGCCTGCATTGGGCGTCTTGTGACCCCCTGCCCTCATCCGAGTCCGAGGCGACCGCGCCGACGGCGAAGAGTTCGGCGGGCTGCCGCGCCTCCTGCGCGGCGCTGCAGGCTGAGCGGCCGCCGCTGGAGAAGTGGCTGCCTGCTGCTGCGAGCTGCCCCGGGGCCGCTGCGGGGGGGCCGCTGCCTGCGTTTGTTCGCTGGGCGCCGCGCTCGCAACCGCGCCCCAGGCCTGCAGGCATCGGGGAGTGCACGGATGCTGAGCTGGTGCGCTGGGAGGAGGCGGGCTTTGCGGCCCCGCCCTACCCGTTCCGTGACAAGTGGCGCATTCACGAGGCCGGTGGCCGCGCGGCGCCGCCTGGCGCGGTCGTGCGCGAGGAGCTGATGGGCTTCGCTGAGAGCCACGCTGTCCCGTGCATGACCAGTGCGGAGGCGAAGGCCAGCCCAGCCAAGTACGAGGCGCTGCGGCGATCCTTGGTAGGGAACTCGCTCCAGTGCGAGGTGGTAGCCTGGCTGCTTAGCCACTTGGCCGCGGGTGCGGGGCTGTTGGTCTCCGTGCCGTCGGTGGCCGAGCTGCGTTCCAGCGCGCGCGCCTGGGCCGGGGGCCGCAAGCTGTGGGCTGGGGACCTCGCCTCGCTGCGCTGCGGGCGCGTGAAGTTCGACGAGCAGGTCTCCCGCGAGCTGGAGGTGGCAGCTGCGAGGTGCGCCACCCCGGAGACGCCAGCGGTGGTTTACGTCGGCCGTGGCTCGCGGCGCTGGAGCATGGAGCCTTCCTGCTGGGGCAGCCCATTTGCCATCAGCCCGAGCTGCTCGCGAGAGGACGCGGTGGCGCTATTCGCGGGCTGGCTGCGGGGACAGCCGCAGCTGCTGGGTCGCCTGGGGACCTGCGCGGGGCTACCCTTGCGTGTCACTGCGAGCAAGCAGTGTCCTGCCACGCGGACGTGCTGCTTGCCGAGTTGGCCAGGCGTGATGCGACTTCCTGGAGAGACTCAGATGTCTCGCGGAGGCCGGCCATGAATCTTGCGATGGCGTGCCACAACAATGGCGCAGACAAACGTGCAGACGGGAGCTCTGAGGGGCTCGGTAAGATATTCCCTCGGCAGGATATTGACGCAGGCATTTGGCCATGGCGTAAAGCTGGACAGCTGGTCTGGGACGTTCCAGAGCACATCAATGTCTTGGAGTGCCAGGGCGCCCCCACGATGATTCGATGGTGTGCTCGTTCTCTGGGGCGTGAACAGCGTGTCGTCTTATACCTACCCGGTGGCATGGTCAACGTCGGTGCTTTCTCCAAGCGCCGCTCCAGTAGCAGTCAGCTCAATAAGGTGGTGCGCAGTTTCTCTGCTTGGGAACTGGGCGCGCGGGCAGCGTTCGGCTCTCTTCTTCGGCCAGGAACCCCGCGGGCGCCCCGTCGTGCCTGAAGGATGGGGAACCCGAGTAGCCCCTCCGATCGGCGCGCCGCCAGAGCTGGACCGGGGATGTTGGGTGACGCTCGAATCGGTGGTGCGAAACTTCCGAGATATCGCCGAGCCGCCCAGCAGTTTGTTGACTATCTAAATGCCACGAACCTGCAGCTGCCTGTGACATGGGAAGATATGGATACCACTCTTCAAGATTACTTCGAGTATCTTGAGGCCGAGGGTGCCACCAAAGGTCAAGCTATCGATGCACTCAGTGGGATCCAACATGTGTTGAGAACACGCCGTCTGTACCCTGGCACGTGGCGTCTGCTGTCAGTCTGGGGCCGCCTGGAGGTGCCTCAGCGTGCTCCGCCGATGCCGCCGCTGGTTTGCAGTGCGCTGGCCGGCTGGGCGCTGGGACGCGGAGAGGTCGCGTTCGCGGCAACAGTGCCGGCGGGCTTCCACCTGTGCCTTGAGACAGGTGTCTCTCCAGCGGCGTCGTCCAATTGGAGCCTCGCGGCTGCGGCGTCGCGACGCTACCCTGGACAAATTAAGACTGCCTGTCAGAAGGGTGCGCGCGAGACAGTGACGCTGGGCGATCCGCTCGTGGGAGCGGTCGTTCGCATGCAGCTGCAGCGCGGTAGCCGACTCTGGCCCGCCTCGCCTCGCGCTTTTTCATTCAATGTTTCGCACTGGCCTGCAGCAGATTGGTTGCAAGCGTCTCTCCCTCGCCCCCTGTAGTCTTCGGAAGGGGCGGGGCAACCCGCGAGTAGGAGGAGGAGGAGGAGGAGGAGGAGGAGGAGGAGGAGGAGGAGGAGGAGGAGGAGGAGGAGGAGGAGGAGGAGGAGGAGGAGGAGGAGGAGGAGGAGGCAGAGGAGGAGACTGAGTTACAGGGAGATGAAAAAGGAGGGGGGCTGAGACAGGGGGAGGAAGCGACGGGGAGGAGGATATCCTGCCGCCGCTGCGAGCGGATCTGAGGGCTGGGCAGCCGGCGGAGCAGAGAGGCGGGAGCGTTCCCTCTTTCGCCGCGCAGGCCGGCGGCGGCAGCGCTGGCTGTGGTGCCTCGGTTGGACGGGGCGGCCAAGCTGGCTTCAGGACGGCGTCGGTGCCGGCCGCGCTTGGGGGTCGCAAGCTCTCTGGGGCCCGAGAGCCGGGCGCCGCACGTCTCGATGGTGATTTCTGTTCGGAGGGGTCGGAGGGGGGGACGGCGCCGCCCCAGGTGGGCAGGAGCGGGCCCTGAACAGGCGGGCGCGGCTCTTTGTCCGGTGATTTTCCGGAGGGGGGCGTTGGCTCCCGCCCCATGGCACAGAAGAGCACGGCCGCGGCCGACGTCGTCGCGTCGAGAACGCGATTCATGGCGACGACAAGGTCCGAGGGAAGTCAGACGTGACACGGGACGGGAGATGCAAACGGACGGTTTGGAAAGCGGAAAGCGCAGCATGAGATCAGCGCTGCAGCGGGAGCACGATTCGAAGGACCGAGCCGTGGAAATGAGACCAACGCTGCCGTGGGAGCACGTCTTGCAAGGACTGAGAGCGCGGAGCTGAAGCCAATGCTCCAGCGGGAGCACGATTAGGAAGAACCGAATCAATGAAATGAGGTCAGCGCTGCAGCGGGCACATGACTGAGAATAGGAACGTGGAGCCAACGCTGCACAGTGGAAACCCATGCCAAGAAACACTCTTTTTGCCTCCCAGGTGCCCTGGGTTTCTTGGGTTTCGATGGTTTTGCTATGGAAAGCGCTGCGTTCCCATACCGAAAATCAATGGACGTCCTGGGGTCTCAGGGTTGGGTTTCTTGTGGGAGGTTTCTTGTGGTCGGGCTCCTGTAGCGGGAGCGCCAATATGAACCTGAAAGGGTTGAACACGTACGTATTGAAAAGACATGAATTTTCAATTCGGCGTCATCTTGTGTGTTTAAGAAAAAAGAAAAGGCAGAGGAGGCCAGGACACCTCACTGGCGTCTCCAGGGGAGAGAGGAGAGTAATTAGTGTTCAGATTGTGGAGTTGCAGAAGGGGAAGGGGGGAGGAAGGCAGATGACGGAGGGAGGAGGGGCGAGGAGACGAGGGCCGCAGGAGGGAGGGAAGAAGAAGGCATAAGTCACGCCCCGTCGCGCCCGTGCGGCCAGCTCCCTGGCCTTGGCGTGCGCGGCTGCTGTCGGCGTCGAGCTGCGACTCAAGCTTTTCGATCTTGACGACAATGCGCTTCGCCACGCCAGGGGCCTGCCGCTTCTCGGATTTTGCGAGGATCAGCTTGCCCTTCACGCTCGGCTGAGCGTGGCATTCCGTCCTAAAGCTGCACCCGCGCGCAGTGCAAGTCGCCCCTGCACATCAGGGAAGGCATTACACTCAGGCATGTCCTTGACCATCTGGATGCCCCGTTCAGGCAGCAGCAGCAACAGCAGCACGAGTCAGTGGCGCACGCCGAGCTGCAGGCGGACCACCGCACTCGCCTGTAGTACGGACGGCGCGATCGACCCAGGACATTCAGCCTTCTGCTCGACACTCTGCCTCAGGCCGCGCGCAGCTGGCGCTGCAGAGCCATCGCGGGCGCCACGGCCGACGCCGTCGGCGCTGGCATGTAGGGTTCCGCATTCATGCGAGCGGTGTCGGATCCGCCCACGGGCGCCCTGACCGCCGACACCCACCTGCCGGTGCCCTCAGCGACCGTGTCGTTCAGCACCAACGGAAAGGAAGGTTCCGAAGCGTCCAGGTGGAAAGACGCACTGACCTCTGACGATCCACCACATGAAGCCGTGCATTCGCAGCAGCCGACTTCGCCGCCTCGCCCGCCAGCTTGTCACCATACCCGTCCCTGTACGCGACGACCCCATCGAGCATCTGCTCCTGAGTGCACTTCGCCTTGACCCAGACCTGATTGCGAGCCCCTCCTCCGACGGCCCGCCGGACTCGTCCAAGAGCCGCCACACCTTTCTCCACAGGTGAGAACGCGTGCACGTACGAGGTCGTGCGATCCCTCCCGTCACGCGTGAGGCCCATGGTGCCTTGGACTTGACCAGCGGGACGGGGCACCGTTGATTGGCCGGCAGTGCACTGAACTCGCCCCGGCTGATGTCCATGAAGATTTCGTCCACAGGCATTCGGCTTCTTTCTGTGGGGGTTGCCAGATGTCCTTGCTGGCCATGTGGGCGTCCCAGTTACAGTTCGACGGAACGGACGCGAAGACGCCGTTGCTTTGGATCACATTGAGTGGATCGGGCAACGGGCAACAAAGCAGCACAATGCCTTTTGACGAATCCGGGCGACAATGCTATCATTTCCAACGCGACACCGGACAGGTTAGGCCTGCCAACGATCTCAAATCACGTTGTTGCAGCATGTGCGAGCGTATCCTGTCCAGCTGCTGCAGGGAAGACTACATGCAGGGGCAATAATGTTTATGCCTACCTAAGATTCCCGTACTAGATCTAGCTAGTATAGTTCGACCTCCGAAGATCATGCTGCTCCTGTATATGCCTACCTCGAAAATGTAACACTAGCCCTCGGATGTTCATACGTCTTTGTGCAATGGTCTCGCGTGTGTGAACCATAGGTAACACAAGTTTGCGCTGCATATGCGCGTTCAAACAAAACAACTTAGCTTCCAGCCTGTTGCGTCGCAGTCCAGCTGGGTGCACGCAAAGCTTTGTGGGCGGGGGTCACGGCTGGACGATCCTTCGATGCCGTCCATTTGTCAGGCGGAAGCGTGTTGGACACATCGGATGTGAGGATGGAGTTTTTCATACGTGTCGCGAGCGGTTCCTCATCCCCCCTCCCCCCTCTTGTGTCCTCCTCCTCTGTACAAAGAGAAAGTCCCGCACACGCCGAACTAACCTAGGACCATCCATGAAACAGGAGGCCTATGCCTCCTCGGCTTCGGGGCCCGACGAATTGTCCACCTCCCCAGGCCCGACGTTGGGCGCCTTCTCCTCCTCCTCCTCCTCCTCTTCCTCCTCCTCCTCCATCTTCATCCTTCCCCTTCCTCCCTGAGCCTCGTTCTTCCCTCCCCTAAACCTTCTCGCGCAGCCCCCTCTCCCTCGTCATTAAATTCCTATCCCTCCCCCTTCTCCTCCTGCCTCTTGGAGCGCTGATCGCGCCATGTGCCTCTGTTTTGAAGCTTTCTTGAGACCCTGTTTGGCAATCCCGCGTGTCACCCAATGGGCCCTCTCTGCGCAAGTTAGCTGTTTGGGGGGCCTCTTGGCCGTGCCGGCACCTTTTTTGGGGCTGCCCTGGGTCGTATTCAAGAGGCTTGGCTTGGAGGGTCGTGGGACCCTGTGGAGGCCGTCTTGGGATCCTTTGGCAGCGCTGGGGCCGTCTTGGGGATCTCGTCGGCCGTATTGCGCCCGTTTTGAGGCCTCTCCAGGATGTGTTGGTTCTTCCGATGCTCTCTTGGATCCATTTTGAGCGAACAGCCAAGGAGTCAAACCTCACAGACCAACCGACATGTTTCCGCGAATTTTGACTATCGGGGGATCTCTTGGGCCTTTCGGGGCATCCAGGGCTGCCTGGGATACCTCCTTGAGCACTTGTGGGTTCTCGTTCAGCCAGCTTGGAGCCCTTGTGGCCCACAATACTGGAGTGCTCTTGGGCCGTCTGGCGGCATCTTGGGCCTTATTTGGCGTCCCGTGGGGCTGTTTGGGGAGCTCTCTCGCACCACCCGTGGCTGTCCCTGGGGCCCACTCGCCTTGCCCTCTTGTGCCGTCTCCAGGACCTCTTGGCTGTCGTAGCGCCGTCTTGGCGGCCTTTGTGGGAAGGCGCGCCGCTGGATGCCCCAAGGGGGGGGTCCAGGACCCCCCCTCCCTTCCACGATCCGTCGTCCCGGACTTCCCTCCCTTTCACAGTGCGGGGGGATTTGAACCCCGCCCCCCCCTCTTCTGGATTCGAAAAATCGGACCCCCCCCTCTCCGGTGGTGGCGGTGGTTGGGTGGTGGTTTGTGGTGGTGGTGGGTTGTGGTGTGGTGGTTTGTGGTGGTGGTGATGATGGTGGGCTGTGGTGGTGGTAGTGGTGGTGGGTGTGGTGGTGGTGGTGGTGGTGGGTTGTGGTGTATTGTGGTGGTGTTGGTGGTGGTGGTGGTCGTGGTGGTGGGTTGTGGTGGTGGTGGTGATGTTGGTGGTGGGTTGTTGCGGTGGTGGTGGTGGCTGTGGTGGCTGTGGTGGTGGTGTCTGTGTGGTGGTTTGTGGTGGTTCTCTGTGTTGGGCTCTTGTGGTGGAGGTGGTGTCTGTGGTGGTGGCGGTGGTGTTGATGGTGGTTGTGGTGGTGGTGGCGTGGTGGTTTGTGGTCGTGGTGGTGGTGGCGGTGGGCTGTTGTGATGGTGGTGGTGATGGTGGTGCTGGCGGTGGTGCTGGTGGTAGTGGTGAGTGGTGGGTGGTCGTGGTGGTGGCGGTGGCGGTGGTGGTGGTTGTGGCGGTTGTGGTGGTGTGGTGGTTTGTGCTGGTGGTGGTGGTGGGTTGTGGTCGTTCGTGGTGGTGGTGGTGGTGGTGGTGGTGGTGGTGGTGGTGTGGTGGTTTGTGGTGGTGGTGGTGGGCAGTGGTGGGTTGTGGTTGTTGTGGTGGTGGCGGTTGTTGTGCTGGTGGTGCTATAGTGGGGTGTGGTGGCGGTGGTGGTTGTGGTTGTGGTGGTGGGTTGTGGTGGTTGTGGCGATGGTGGTGGTGGTGGCCGTGGTGGTGGTGGTGGTGCGGTGGTTTGTTGTGGTGGTGGTGTGGCCTTCGGGTCTTCCCGCCACCGTGCCTTGTTTTTGGGTCAGAGGTCTCATGGATGCCTCTTGTGATCTCGTCAGAGGTTTCTGGGGTGCGTCTGAGGAGCATTTGTGAAGCCTCCTGGGCGCCTCTTGGGCTTCTCTTGCACCTTCCTAAGGGCCTCCCGGTGGCTTTTGGGGGGCGAGGGCTCGATCTGGCGACTTGAACCGTCTGCGGCCTCTGGGCCCTCTCTGGTCATCGTCCCTGCGTCCCCGCCGTCGGCGCTGCTGGCCTCCGCCAGCGCCGGCGCCGGCGCTGGGGGGGTTTGCGGACCCCTCCCCCCCACACGGGGGAGCCTGAGGGGGGGGGGTCGGGAAGGGTGAGGGCGTAGGGGGGAGGGGAGTCCCCCTGTTTCTGATC